TTAAGACTTTATTAGCAAAGAAATAAAAAATTTCTTGCAAACATCTTTTTTGTGTGTGGGCAGAGGATCAGTGGAAAGAGTCTTTTAGTTTTAGCAATTTATATTATATATATAGTTTATAAATATTTAATAAAATATACATAACTATTTTAAATAAATAAAAATCAAATATTAAATATTTTGCAATCAATTTATTAATTAATATAATTATTATATTAATTATTAGATTATATAATTAATTAATAAATAATAAATCAATTAATGATAGAATTACTATATATAGTAAGTCCAACAATTATACCACATATATAGTCTTAACAATATAGATGTTTTCTATTATATAAATAAATATATACAATATTATCAAAGGTAATATGTCTAGTTTAAAACTTAATAAAATAGAATTATACCATATACAGTATATGCAAGATTAAAAAATATTGTTTATTATTATTATTATTTTTTTTTTTAATAGTTTTCACGTTAATCATTTCTTCTTAAGTCAAAAATCTTTTTTTTTTTACTCCGCGAAAAACAATATTTTAAACAGACGTATAATCATTAATTATGTATTTAATATGGCTCGGTGGTATCAGAGATATGGTGACCTTTAAACTTCGGATTATATAATTCCCTGGTCGCTAACCTCATGTGTACTGCTATGGGAATTAAAGTGAAACAGACGTGAAAACTTTTTTGATAAGCAATTCTTATTTTATAACTACGCAAATCACATGTATTTATTAAAGTATTTCGAAAGCAACGAATTCATTATTTTTTTTTTGTACGTAAGCGAAAACATTTATTATCCTATGATTTAAGACTGTCTTTACCGCGCAACTGGAGCCACTGAGAAGTTAAGATTGTCGCAAGGCGCGTTTTGTAATAATAATAAACTGTGTTAATGTGTTAATAACATGGATAATCGCGTTGTTTAACACAATATAACATTTTCCCTATAACACCTGATAATCCTGTAACTCTATAATTTATATTACAGTATTCTTTTCTTTATTATAAATACATACAACTTTATTAATTTCTTAATCTTGCAACAAAATAATGTCACCACAGCTGACACCAAAGCGCTCATTTGGAAGACTTGGCAAGAAGAATCATTGTGATAGAGCTGATGGCGGCAATCACATTGATTCAAAAAAGCTGTTTTGCAGCACTGGGAGTTCTATCACCTTTTACGTTAAGCAGACTGTGCCAGAGCGAGCCAAGCTTATCGAAGATATCGAGGTCAGCGTAAACGCTTGCTTCAAGACCTTTGTCACATGCCTAAAAGGGCACTTTCATTCGTTGGTAACATGTGCTGTATATCAATAACCTTTTTCACAGTCACACGGTGGAAAGGTGGTCGAAGAGTTTAACGATGCACAATTTGTACTTGCTGATCCCAATAAGACACAACGTTTTGTTAGTGGGTTACGACAAGTATACTCTTACAAACTTGTGATTGATTCAATCCAGACCAACCAATTTCAACGAGCTGCAGATTACAAGTTGCTCATAACAGGCGAAAGGAATGGGTATGCATAAAGTTTTATTGCTTCTTTATCATCGAGAAACTTGTTCTCTTTGTATTCTTCATTCATTCATTCATGTCTTCTAGACGTAGACCCTTTACACAACAGGATGATAGATTTCTAGAGGAATATCTCAAGGGGAAAACGGTTGCATTAAAAGGGAATAAAATATATCAAGAGCTGGAAAAGATGGTATTTCAATGTTTCCCTAAATTTGCTGCCTTGATTCTTTTTAACATGAAGTTATCCTTTCATCCGAAGAATGATAGACACACGTGGCAATCTTGGCGTAATCGGGCAGAACTAGTTATCATACCCAATATGGAGATTCAGCGGAAACTCAAAAAGCAGAATGAAGTTGAACCATCAACGAACACATCTACTGTCTCCGAGTGTATTGAGAGTCCATTTTTTACAGATCTGGATGATCAGGCAACTGAGCAAGTATTAAACAGCTTTCTGGAAAAAATAAAGGAAAATGATATTATTATTGACATCTCAGACGAAGAAGACAATAATATACCTGAAGTCGACAACGAGAAAAATACTAAGAAATCAATTGAAGATAGCTCTAACGTAGAGACAACTTTAAATCGAGAGAAACCAGAAGGACGAATATCGAACGGGGATACTGTTAGGACTCCGGTGAAATTGCGTTCTAGAATGACCCCCATAAAAGAAACGGAGTATGAAGAAGTATTGGGTTCTTCTCTATCTTCGTTAGGGAAAAGGAGTCAAGTTGATATGAATGATATATATGATTTATCGGAAACACCACGGCGTAAGCCATTTGCAAGTCTAAGTAGTCAAGGACCTTCAATTGAAAATGATGTAATTTCGTTGGATTCGCCTGAGATTACGTTGCCAGAATCACCTAACAGTCTCGTCAAACAAATTCAGGAACAGACTGAAGAAGAAACAGAGGTGGAAACCCCTTGTCCTGTTTCATCAGTACGTCTTGGTAAAAGACGCCAGATCCAAGGAGACGAAACCCCCACCAATTCACAATCAAAGCGTTTGAGGTTATCATCGTCTTCTGTGAGATCACAAGTCCCTTCTCCGTTCAAAGCCTCCGGATTTCCAATCCAACCGACTAACGAATGTGACGAGAAAGATGAGAGAGAATTTTTAGCAAAAGTTAAGGAGATTTCAGAAATTACCCATCGTCCTTTGACGTCAGTAATCCGGGCTTTAGGTGAGACTACTTGTAATTTCGAAGTGGCCAAAGACTTCCTTATCAACGGTAGAACAGGTAAATGCATGCCAAAAATTCCGTTCGAAATTACTTCTTGTGCAAGTATCATGTTTCATTTTTTTCTTGTTTCACATATATTAGCAAATAATTCAAGGTTCATCTGGACAAGCGAAGAGGATGCAATTATTACGTCGGGTTCGGATAAGGAAAAGCTCAGAGAAATTGTCAATAATCACGGGACTGAAGTGACAAAAGATAGGATGGACTTCCTTCAAACTTATGTTACGCATCACTAATATTGCCTTTAGGTCTTGCGGGAGTATCAATTCAGAGGGGCATCTTTTTTTCTTTATCATTTTGCATTATGTAATTAATATTCATCATTCTATACTTGATGAAATATCAAAAAATCGTAATACTCATGGTATGCATCTTTTTTTTTTAAAAAAAAAAAAAAAAAAAAAAAAAAAAATTCAATTATCATCTAGTTATATTCGAATGCATTAATTACTCTTATAGTTACTAAACATTGTATATAGTTGTAATAAATAGTCCTTTTTGTTTTTCGAACGAACTTAATCGTCAAATAAAATATCTCTAAAAGTGTGTAATTTTTTTTCCGAAATCTCTAATCAAGAAAGAGGTTACACAATCATAGGAAAATATGCATCAAGTGTGGACTCCCGGCGCAGGTCTTCGTGAATTTCATGTCTACGATGTTTATGCGTCGCTATCGTCAGGGTCGTAATAAATGAGGATTACATAGGCAATATTGAATGACTTGAACGTTTGCATTCTATTTTTTTTGTTTCTTTCGTGAAGTCCCTTCCTCATTTTCGTCTTTACCATATTTTTGCTCCATGATTCTGCTAATTTTTTGAAAGTCCCTGTCCAATTTTTGCTTTTCCGTAAGTTCCTTGCCACTTCTTCGAGTTTTGCGACCGTCGCCGGTTTTAACTCCAAACTGAAACGCAGATTTGGGCATTGCCGTAACGTTATTCTACAAAAAAAAAAAAAAGAGCGGTTGGTTTAAGAGAAAAGAGTATTAGCCTCCTGACGTATTACCTTGTATGCTTGCCAATCTTCTTCCGTGTCGAAATCCCATTTGGACAATTGAGCCTTCTTATTCTTGGTAACTCCCTGATCTCGGATAGTATGCTCGGCACCTGTTCCATCTGAATCTGAGTCCGAGTGACCAGAGTCATAGGCACTTTCCCGTGTGCCTGCCACCATGTCAATTCCAAGGCCGTACGCTGAATAATCTGCATCATAACTGTCTTGACCATACAGTCTTTTCTTGATTCCTTCGCCTTTCGAAGGTCTCAAACTTCCTTTGGTGGGATTCGTATTCGGTCCCTCCTCCTTATTCTTGACTCCGCTGGCTGCAGCTTCTTTTATCAGGCTCTGTAACTTTTGAACTTCTTTTGATTTATCAATATCCATGCGATCGTCTTCGACTTCTGGCGTGGATGTGCCAAAGTAATTATTAACAGTATTGTCTATGCCTGAACTGACTGAGAGAATTGCATCTTCAGCTTTCTCTTCAGGCTTGTCGTCCTCTATAGTAACATGATAATCTCTTCCAGAATCCGCAAAAATGTCTTCGCTGTCATCGATAGAAACTACTTTTTCGTTTCTAATTTCAGAAGGTTGTTTTTCTTTGGGTTTCTTTTTCACCTTTTTGTCTTTATTCTCCATGCCACCAGATTTCCGCACATAAGCCATTACTCGCGAGATTTTCTCAATTACCAAATCATTGGTAGACTTGTCGACACTAGCATAATTGTTGATATCCGCCTTACTACGAATAACAGTTGTCGGTATGGAAAAGGCATCCCCATATCTACCTCGTTCATCAGCCAACTCAAATACATATGCCATTCGTCCAGTAACAAACAGTTCATTTAACTTAGGTGGTTTCTTCTTCTTGGGATCCTCAATGACGATGTCATATATATTTTGCGCAAGACGACTATTTATCTTGGGTGTCTCTTGTGATTCCTCTTTTATTTTTTCCAATGCGGCCTCCAACTCTTCATCATCTTTTTCCCCTTTGCCTTCTTCACCATCTCGGTTAATCTCGCTACGCACTTTGGCGAGCAACGCGTAGTCAAGACCCTTAACCAAATGTGTGTGCTCTGTATCACCACCCAAATATTTCGACTGTTCGTAGATTAATTTTGCTTCTAATTCTTCACTATTGTTGAGGGCTTTCAGTATCTGTTCTGTCTCTTGGTAATCAGGATTAGCACCTTTTCGACGTTCGGCTGCACGATCGCGATATTTATTGTCATTGGAATCGGCCTCTGAACTTTCTGTTTTGCGAAACCGAGAACTACATAGAATGGTTGAGCCAATCAGGGCAATGAAATATTTTTACTATTATTTCAGCTTTTCAATCTAACCTTTTCTTCGCTTTTAGAGAAGGTATTTCCGGTTTCGAAAAGGTTCCTGCTTTCCTGCAAAAACATGTATGTGGGATTAGATTGAAGTTCTAGTGAGTGGAAATGACCACTTCACACTCACGGCGTTTGTGGTGGCATTCTCTGCCTTGGAGTTGCCATACCAAGCGTTCCCTTAGCCGACGCATCGCCGGGTCTTGGAGTTTGCAACAATTTTCGAAAGTCATCCTGCTTTAAACTACAAAATTTAAGTTGCAGAGTGAGTTTATTTATCGAGACTCTGGATCGTGAGTTTATTTAAAAAGTACCCTTTTTGTTTCGTGTCCTGTGGCATCCTGAGAAAGGAACATATACGATCATACGTATCGCTTATCAGAAGCTTAATTATAAATATGGTAGTCACGTGCCAAGATTATCTCCCTCTGTGTATCACCGGGAAAAATATGTTTTATTCAGTTGCTTGTTGCCTTGGAGTAATCAGTTGACGCAAACAAAGAAATCGATCGATCTTGCTTTACAACTTTTTTATAATGAAAATTGGCAGCCACTTTTTATTTAAGAAGTAAAAAAAAATGTTGGGTAGAAAGATTTTGTTGCTGGAAAGTTTCAGTTCGATCAAGGTAAATCTTCAAAGTAAAGGTTTATCCGTCATTTCACCTCTGCTCTATCACCCGAGAGGCTTCGGCAGTCAACGTTCATCAGGATTAAATTGTGCCTCGCTTAAAAACCGTAATTCCTTCTCATTAGCACTCGGATCTCTATACCCTTTCACAAAACACAATCAACCCTCACGTTCTTATGCGACTAGTTTACCGGGACAATTCAAAACCTACAAACCTCGAACACCTGGTCTTAGATGGTTAAAACGGCCCATTAATGATCATTTGTGGAAGGGCAAGCCCGTACGGAAACTCACCATTGCCAAACGCGCCACAGGCGGTCGTAATCATCATGGCCACATCACCGTGCGTCATCGTGGTGGAGGCCACAAACGTCGCATTCGTATCGTGGATTTTTTTCGGTGGGAACAAGATCCTCACGTGGTTGAGCGCATAGAATATGATCCAAATCGTTCTGCACACATTGCTTTGCTTACAAACCAAGTAACGGGAAAGCAGAGTTACATCATTGCACCCCATGACTTCCCCCCCGGCTCGATCGTACGATCTTATCGAGGAACTTCCAAAGAAAACAATGAAGACTCGTTGGTCACCCGCGTCTTGACTGCGGAAAAAGGTGATTGCATGCCGCTGAAAATGATACCGGTTGGTACACTTATCCATTGCATAAGTTTGAAACCGCAAGGACCCGGAATCCTGTGTCGTTCTGCTGGATGTTCGGCGCAGCTGATTCGCACAGGTGACAAGGGGTACGCGCAGGTGCGTCTCAGTTCCGGGGAAACTCGTTTGATTCACGTGGATTGCTGCGCGACAATCGGTACGCTATCGAATCCGGATCACCAGCACAGAATGCTTGGCAAGGCCGGACGGTCGAGATGGTTGGGTATTAGACCAACGGTGAGAGGTGTCGCAATGAATGCTTGCGATCATCCTCATGGCGGTGGTCGAGGAAAAAGTAAAGGAAATAGGCACCCATGTAGTCCAACGGGTGTTTTGGCCAAAGGTGGGAAGACTAGAAAACGACCGAATCCGTGGGTCGTCAAACCAAGACCACGGCGATGATCAAAATAAAAATGCATTATAATGATGATTGATCGATCACGTGACACATGAAAATTTATTTAAACCATCACGATGCGTAAACAAAAACTAGTTAATATATTATAAAATGGATAATTCGCTTCCTAAATTGTCACTCGAACCTCGTCTAGGTTCTGCGCCATTTGACGTATTGGAACCTGAAGGCATTGAAAAATATAAACCGTACGAGTAGTGCCAATTTCTGCAGATTGACTTTTTGTCGCCTCGAATTTTGACACTATTTTCCATTTCATTGGACCCTACTGCTGATAGCAAACCAACTCCTAGCGATAACCTTAGAGAAGATGTTCGAAAGATATATAGTCAACGCGTATTCAAAAATTTGACCGAGGAGGATAATGGTGATTCCGAAAAAATAGAAGAGAAAAAAGATCAAAAATCGACATCCATTAAAGATATGGATGAACTAGTGCCCATGAAGATTTCTATCAGACAGACCGTTGAGTGAGCATTATATACACTTCCTCAAGATCTCCGCGACAGAATTTCATGTGATTAACTTTGTTCATCCTTTAGACAATCGAATAACGAGATTGGTATTGGAATAGCTATTTTAAATTTAATACTATATCGACCAGGGTTTAACCCAGACCACCCACTTCCAATCAATCCTGGCTTAATACAACATACTTGTCACGCTTTTTCTCCGCCTACTAAACCATTTGAGGTTCAGAATCTCAAGTTGATGTTGGGAATGAAACGCAAGGTTTCCGATTCTCGTCATTCGTCACCACCATGATCGTTGTTTCGTTTAATTAAAGGAATCTGATTAAATTTTGAAACAGCAAATTAAACATTCCGCGGAAATTCTATTAAATGCAGCCAAAAAACTCGATAATATCGTCAAGAAAGAAGAAAGTTTCTGGAATGAAGCATTATCATTGAGAGAGTGCCATTGGAGCATGCGCCGCGGTGGTAAAGAAAAAAATGCCGGGCATCAAATTTTCGTTAATTACGGATATTCGGATGGTATGAAAGAAATTTATTTCTTTGATGCAGGGTTTTTTACTTATCATCTTTAAAATCAAATTTTTTATTACTAGCTGGATCTAATTACCCGGAAAATCCACTCGCACAAATATTAAGATCACCTGAAGAAAGGCAGATTGTCGTGTCCTTACCTCGAAGGCCTAAGAGGGCAGTTAAACTAAAATTGCAACAGAAACAAAGTAACCTTAGTGGTGGAAAGCTGTGTGTACAAGAAAATACCTGTAAGCATAATTTTCTATAGAATTGTTGGTAACAAGATATATGTATTAACGAAGGAAAACTTTTGGCCATACCAAAGTACCTCGTTCCGAGATAACCGAAGACTCGAGCATCCATCAGCAACTCGTGGTTGCTCAGAAAGCAATTTTCGAAGCCGAATTGATTGATCAAGTATGTTGTGACAAATGAATGTGGTCTCAAATGGTCGATTGTAACCTGTGATAGTGGTTTTTTTGATCATGGAAGCTATGGTTCATAATGACGATGGGATTTGGATTAATTGGTTAATTAATAGGGGAGAAGGTTATTAAGTTTGATTTCTTCACTCATCTTTCTAAATATACCTTTTTGATATAAGATAATACGTGAGGCGCGTTCCATGCCAAACGTGACATTAGTTGAGAATGAAGTATCTATTCGAGTATATCAGGGAGTGGATTTAATTATTCAATGGGTAATTCCTCTAAGATGGCATCTCCCGTTTATTTTTAACCGATTTTGTTTTATCTAATATTATTACCCTTATTCATTAGGCTAATGTTGACGCGATGGAAGAATCTTCTTTCGCCGATAACGCCGATAATTTTAACATTAATATTTCACCAGAGTCTTCCACTTGTGATGTGTTGAAGCTGGTAATGAATCTTCTGGTAAGGAGGTATCACAGAAGGCATTTGCTTAAACAGCAGGAACGCGTGTTACATGGAACGAAAGGAGCAACTCGGGAAATGTTTGTGTCAAATTTTTCACACTCTAAACTTACATTTTACGAAAAGTCAATCCCTCCTAATGGACATATATATGTATATATTCTTTTTTTTAAAAAAAAAAAAAAAAAAAAATTCGCCAGAAATCATGCTCAAATCCTTTCCCAACTTATTCATTTGCTTAAATATCACTTTTTCTGTAATCACGTCCGAGAAATAGTTAATACCGCGACAAGAGCGTTAAAAAGTGGGGGCATACCAGTACAAATTCATTTCATTTCTAACATGTCCAAAGGCAAAGATTTAGTCGAAGATGCCTGGAAAAAAATTGGAAACGACAAAGTTCCTTTGTTTATGGGAATGATTATAATAACTATTGATCGCAGGTTCGATTTCTTTGCTTGTTTGCCATTGACTATATTTCTATCCGATGGTGTGACAGTTATTCTAAAATTTTATTAAATAATGATAAAGGCGAAGCCTTCGATTTACTTTAGAATCTCCGGCATCTATCACCGTTCATCTCTCCCACACTGATATAAAAACTCGTGACCTGACTAAATTTCAGGATTTACTTTTTAGGGAGATAAATTTATTTTTATTGAAGATTGTTCACGAACAACTGACTTATTTGACAGGGCTGGATAACATGATATTTGGAAATAGTACTTGGATTTTGGATCCGACAATGATGGTAATATATAAGGACGTTCCACCGGTGTTAACTGATTCCGTCGCAAAATGGCAGAAAGCACTTTGGAGACGTCCAATGTTAGTAGTGAACATTTACCACCTACTGCCACTCAAGCATCACTTAAGCTAACTTTTTTTTTTTTTTTGATCCGTGCACTTCAGTAAAATCTCAATAGTCAACGGACAACCTTCGCCAGATAATTTAACACTGAAGGTGGAAGCCGTTGAAATTGAAAAGTGCCCAGAGTTGGTGATTGGTAGTATTGATAGCGAAGAAAAGGCTAATAAAAAGGAATTCGATGAGAGAATATTCGAATTCTTGATCAATTTGGTGTAAATCAAATCGTGTAATTTAACAAACTTTTAGTTTTGATGTATTATTTCTGTGACACACTCGACGTCTATAAAATTATCAATTACATTTGTATAGCTTAGCTTAGTATCTTGTAACACACTCCGCTTGTTATTAATGATACAAGGAGACGAACTAATCAAGTTGCTACAGTTGTGATAAAAATAATCTTTTATTAATTAAATAGACTTCAATTATTCACTTATTAAGATGGTCTAAATCTATTATAAAAAATTAATTTGTATACATTATTACATTTTTCTTGTATAATAATATGTTATAAAGCATAAATTTGTTTTTATATTGGTTTGCAATTATATTATTTGATTTGTTGATTTTAAAGATTAGATTTGAAGCATGAATTTGTGATTGTTTTTCAAAGTTGATAATATTATATTGAATTTATTAAATAACATATTGTTTGGAACTAATATTGTAAGACCTATTCTGTATTTGAAACATTAGTAGCACTTTGACATAATTTTATTGTAAATAGTTTTTTGAGAGTACTATATAAGTAAAAAGATATTTTAAGGTTAGAATAAAAACATGATTGATAATATATCTTGCTTATTTATCTATAATATTTTTAAGTTTCTTAAGATTTAATATTTTATTAATCTTTTTTTTTTATAAGCTACACTTGATACTATTTGTTTTTTTTAGATAAGTATTATTATTATTATTATTATTATTATTTTAACCCGCAATCATGACACAATGACGTATCTTTATTGAGATATTGAGAAATACCTAAATATTTTACAGATTTTCACAAAGTGACTAACTTGTCATTATACATTATTAGTTAAAGAATTACTTTACTTAAAAAATATGAGAAGTCCACTAAGCTAGTTTGGACTAAACAAAACTAAGTCTAAACTAGGTACTCTAAGTCAGATTTAGAGGACAATATTTTACTCTTCTAGTAGCTTGACAATAGTGCCTCTAAGTCAATCAAAGTCATTATCAACAGTTTATCACTATAGATTATCCTGAAAAATAATAAATTGCTAAAGTTGATACTGGAGAAAAAAAGGAAGGTGAATACAAATCAAAGTTCTCCAAAAGGTTCTTGCTTTATTTCACAGTTTTCTCTTGAAAGGGGTTTACCTGATTGGAATATTCTCTAAACTTTATGATGTTTGAGAAACTTAGCCATTCCTGAAAGTGACTTCAAGAAAAATATTTATAAAACTTATCCTTCTTTCAATATATGGATTCGCTTATTACTGTTGAGACCAGTACCATATTACGGAAGAGTTTGTCTAACTGGAATAAAGAAATCTTTTCAAGAACTTTGCCTGACTAGAATAGAAGCTTAGAGACCTCAGCTTTTGTCCAAGAAAGCTTTTTTACTACTTGAGGAACTTAATAAGAGATGAGAGTTGAATCTTCTTTTCATACCTATCGTTCACCTTTCGGTATCATAATTGTTTTCTGAAGGTTAAACATACATGATTGAAGGGGACACTTTTTCTAGAACTTTCTTTTCTACATCACCAATGATGTATCGAGACATGTGAGTGTGATCAATAGGAGCTTGTTTACATTTCAAAAACTGACGTGTTTCATGTCAGCCAATCACCTTTGATAAGAATTTGTGCTACCAAAAATTCAGAATCAAACTAAGGTAGACAAAATTCCCCAGAAAATCATGAAAGTGATAACACTAAGAGGTCCACAAGTGACTGAAAGGAGAAAAATAACTCCTTCTATTATCAAAACCCTCTATATACCTCTCACTTTAAAGATTAAATAGACCTTAAGGTACTTTACAATCAGTTCTTCTTCCTTTGAAAACTTTCTTGCCATTGGTATCAAAGGTATTGCTTGACTTTTCTTAATTACTAGGAGTCAAGTTTTTGAGTGAAGATATTTGTAAACAATAGGGGAAGAGTAGAAGTGATTCTTAAAGTCATACTTCAAGTTGTTTTAAGGAAAGTATTAAGACTTTATTAGCAAGGAAGTATAAAAATTTCTTGCAAACATCTTTTTTGTGTATAGTCAAAGAATCAGCGAAAAGAGTTTTTCTTTTAGATATATATTATATATTTAAGGTTTTAATTAATATATTAATAATTTATAAATATAAATAATAATTAATAATAAAATATTATTAATTTTTTTAATTTTTAAATTATTATTTTTCAAATCAAATATTATAATATATTTTATATTAAATTTAAATTATTTTATTTTATTTTTTTATATTAAATTGATTATATAATATATATTTATTAAACTTTTTGTATATTATATTTAAGTTCTATATATTGTAAAATTAATTTTTTAACTTACTTATCTTAATTTAAAACATTAAATATAGCTTTAAAAATAATTTATTATTTGTTATAGTTTATGTAAATATCTCTCTAACTATTTTTTTTTTTTTTTTGCCCTCTATTAAGCTAGTTACATATGCTTTATTAAACATTTGTAAGCTGTACATATAATATGAGACGCTAAAGCTAATTCTTTAACTAA